CAGTTCTTTTTCTGACCCTTGGGGTTTCTAAATAAGATAGACCTCCCTGCTGCTGGGCAGTAGAGACCATGAGATTTCCCTCCTACACTTCAAACCCAGAACCAGCTAGAAAAGAGAACCTCACAGCTCTAGCCAGCAACCTGAGTGAGGTGAATAAGACAGAGAAGAGACAGGAAAAAAGAAGTTCCATCCTTTTCCATCCCTGCCCACAGGGGGTGATTTCTGTCAGCATCCCAAATGGGGCTGCCTCCTTCAGCATCTCAGAAGTGAGGTGGCGTGAATGTTTTAAGGAAACCATTGGCTCCTCTGGATAGTCTCACTTCCTCACCTTCCTTTTGGGAGTTGCCCTAGGGAAGCTCTTGGCAACAGCCAAACAAATTAGCAAGTTTCTGGTCCTTCATTATAGCAACAGAAACCAGAATATTGCAGCAGTCATTATGTTGAGCACCCCACCATGACTCATAGTAGAAGAACAGCTTCCATTTAAGAATGCCCTCACTGAAGCAATATAAATTTAATTTCATTAAATCTTGTGCTTAGATGTGTGTCTTTTTGACAGTCTTACAATAGAATAGGAGGTATCCATGGAACATTTCTTCTTCATACATACCCAGAGACAATAGTTATCACAATTGAAATCACTTTTGCAATTGATGGAGTTGTAAATTGAACTAGCCACTGTTCTTTTTTGATGCATATCATCAATATTTTAAAAACAAATATACCTGGCAGACAAATTATGGATGTTCAAACCTGGGAATTTGGTATGTTATTTACTCAAAAATGAATGAAATGGGGCTGGAGAGATGGCCCAGTGGTTAAAAGCACTGGCTACTCTTATAGAGGACCCAGGGTTTGTTTCCACCACCCATATAGCTGCTAACAACCATCCATAACTCTAGTTACAGAGGCTCCGACACCCTCTTCTGGTCACTATGAGCATTATACTCACATGGTACACTTACTTGCAGGCAAAACAAACACATAAAATTAAAACACAATAAATTTTTTAATTGTTTTAAAATGAATGGAGAGAGACTGCCACTTCAAGGAAAGTAATTAATAGTAATAAAATTCAAACTTTAACCAAAGATAGAGTTTTGTAAAACTTTGTATCTACCACTGTGAGCTTGGCAGCATAATAAGAGTTTTCAAATTGGATGGTTGAATTCAACTAATGTAGGGTTTTTTTTTTTTCCCATGTTGTAAATGAAACATGTAAAAACATGAAAACTATAAATAAAAGAGTGTTAATTCTAAAAGTTGGGGACTATCTGCCTACTGGCTAATAATGTGAACTCAGATCAAGCTTCCTGGGTTCAAATCCCAGTGCCACCACTTAGTACTTGTATGACTTAAGTTAAATTCATCTCAGTGCCATGGCTTGCTAATATATAAAATGAGAATTAATTGAGCAAGCATGATGCTCATTTATACCCTGTCACCCCAGCATGAGAAAGCTGAGGAAGAAGGTTCAGGGTTCAAGTTTGGCCTGGGCTACATACTGAATCCCTGTCTCAAAAAATAAAAAATAAAGCGGTGATAAAATAATACCTAACTCAGAGAGGTATTGTAGGCATGAGATGAGTTAATATACATAAATCACTTAGAATACTATCTTACTTAAAGTTAGTGTTCAATAAGTTGTTACGGTTGATCTTGATGAATTATAATTTGTAAAATGAATAAAAACTATCAAATCATAATAGAAAGTTTTTGCCATTGAACCTCTGTCATTTGAGAGTTTGTTCTTTTTTGTTTGTTTCAATATATATATTCTTTATTATTTTTATTTTATGTGTATGTGTGTATTGCCTATGTGTAGGTAAGTACCTGTGTCATGCAATGCCCCCGGAGGACAGAAAAGGCTTTCAGATCCCCTGGAACTGGAGTTACAGACAGTTGTTAGCTGCCATGTGGGTTCTGGGATGCAAACCCAGGTCTTCCACAAGAACCGTCAGTGTTCTTAAATGCTGAGCCATCTCTCCAGCCCCTCAATATATATTTTTATTGAATTTTTGTGCACCCCATATAAAACATCTTAATCATTTTTATACCTCCTCCCCCATCCCTGCCCCCATTGCCTCCACCCACTGGATTTCATGCATTCTGTCATACATGCTAAGGTCTATTGAGTCAAGTTTGTGTATCCAGATGTCCCTCAGTGCAAGTTCATCCACTGGAGTCTCATTGGCCTAGATCTAGTGTCTCTCTCCCTTAAAGGAGATCAACTATTATTTTTATAATCTAATTGTAAGAAATTCACTCTTATACAGAATCTGGAAAGATTCAGAAAACTTTGTTCAAAAAAACAAAAGAATTTGTATTATCCAGCAGCATCAATGAGTTACTGTCAACAACTTGAGATACTTTTTTCCAGCCTTTTCTTCATGAAATACTACAAACAAATGGACTTACAGTCATCCCTCAGCATCTATGGAGTATGCTGGTTCCAAGCTCTCGTGTATCCATAAGACCAAGGTCACAAATGCGCAAGTCAACTGTATACAATATAATAGCATTTGCATATGAACTCTGTACATCCTGTCTTATTGTGATAGTTTGCCTTCATTGTCCTCTTGACTGGATTTAGAATCACCAAGGAGACACACCTCTGGGTGTATCTGTGAGGATGTTTCCAGAGAGATTTAACTGTATTGGGAAGATGTAGGCTGGGGATCCCAGGAAAGCTGCTGGCTCCAGCGAGGGTTTGTTCTTAACAAGCATATATAATGGGCTTTTTAAGGGAGGTTTGAGATGGTAATATAATTATGAAGGATATAGTTTAATGAGTTGAATATAGATAGGTTAAAATTGTGTTACATTTCAATTCCCTGCCTCTGCAGTGTTGAAAATTATAGTATATCATAGAGCTTAAAGAGTTTGGGAGAGTATGTGAATACAGAGAAAGGACAGGTTCTGTCATATCTCTTTTTTTTTTTAATTTTTTATGTAATGTGTGTATTGCCTGCACGTAGGTAAGTGCACCCGTGTCATGCAAATGCCCACAGAGGTCAGAAGAGGCTGTCGGATCCCCTGGGACTGGAGTTACTGACAATTAACTGTCATGTGGGTGTTGGGATTCAAACTCTGGTCTTCTGTAAGAACAGCCAGTGTTCTTAACCACTGAGCCATCTCTCCAGCCCCAGGTTCTGTCATATCTTATCCACCTATTTTCAGTGTTTAAGAGAGCATCAGTGTAAAGGAGAATGTGCTCAACCTGGGCAAGTGTCATCAGTCCTGCAGAGAGACTGCATTTGAGCAATTTTTTTTCTCCAAGACTTAAGGAGAAGGCAGTCATTTGCTGGCACTGCTCATTCACTCTGCGGCTGTGCGCCGAGCACTGGGCATGAAGCTTCGGGCCCTGCCAGGCCGCACAGCTCCAGTGGCAAATAGAGGGCATGGGCCCTGCCCTTCTGCAGCTTGTGCCTTAGAGTTCTCTAGTTCTCCCAGTTTTATAAAAGCAGAGGAGACAGTATTTGTTTTATACTTTATTTTAAAATTTATTTTGTTTATTATTATGATTATTATGGTGTGTGCACTCATGTGTGCATGCATGGGTAGCATAGCATGCATGTAGGGACAGCTTTTGGGGGTTCTTTTTTCTACCATGGGTACTGGGGCTCAAACTCAGGTCATCAGTCTTGTGTGGTAAGCACTTTTATCTGCCATCTCACTAGCCTTATTTAATATTCCTTAAATGTTCATGAAAACACACTTAGTTTTAGCATAAAGTGGGTAAGATGGGCTATAAAAGAATAATTGTTTTCTTTTCCTAGAACATGAAATTACTGTATTTTTAGAGTGCTAATATTATGCAAATCTCCTCATGTTTGATGGTAAATAACCAGCCAGAGCCTATAAATTGGTGGAATTTTACTGACTTAAATGGTGCCTCCTCTTCTAGGAGAAAATATGAACAAAAAGAGTCCATTTGAGGACCATCAGTTTTGTGTCTTCCACATCACTCTATATGCTGTTGAGCTGGCCCATAGCAGTGTGTAATTCCCAACCATAGGTGGTATCTTAAATTTTGGCCACAAATCAAGTTCTTTATGGACCTATAGTCTCCTGTTAATTAGGCTTAGAACATTCTTTTCTTCCACTTTAAGGTTATGTTTTACAAGCTTCTTATAAAACACATTGTATATGTCTTTAAAACCACAGAATGGTAGTCATTGGGATAGTGTGCTTACTTCATATATTGGCATTTTAAGGTTTTAATATTTCTTTCCCATGTGGCTGGTATGCTGAGAATACAAAATCTTGTCAAGCTAAAAGCCAAAGAATTGTATTAAGCCAAAAGAATTCAATCCCAGAATTTTTTATTATTTTTATTTTATGTGTATGAATGTATTGCCTGCATGTATGTAAGTGAACCTAGGTCATGCAATGCCTGTGGAGATCAGACTAGGACGTCCGATCCCCTGGAACTGACTGGAGTTAGAGTTGGCTGTTAGCTGCCATGTAGGTGCTAGGATTTGAACCCGGATCGTCTGCAAGAGCAGTCAGTCCTCTTAACCACTGAGCCATCTCTCTAGCCCCCCAGAATTTATTAGGGAGTGAAACTACTAGTCATTTAAGTCATGTTCTTATTCATATCCTGGCTAAGGCCTTCGGCAAACATTGTATCTCAGTAACTGCTGAAGCCAGTTATCCTGGGCAGGTAGACATGTCTGTGACTGTCCTCCTGCCCCACTAGTGTTTCGACACTAGAATCTTTTGTCAATTCTCCCACAGCTAGAAATCAAAAGTCAAACATTAGCAGCATGTTACTTTCTAAACAGTCATGTCTGTTATAAAATCAGCTCCTCTTTTCGTACAGTGCTTCCTGTTTAAATGTCTGGCAGGTGTAGCATCTTCACAAGGACCTTTGTCCTTGTGAAGTAACCAGCTGTGGTAAAGGAACTCCAGCAGATCTAAGAGCTCGTGATGAAAATTCATGAACAGTTTAATTGCAGAGTCTCATCCTGTCTTTTACATATGTGCTTGTTTTTCAGGAAAAAAGTGCCAGCGCAAATGCAAGACTCAAAACCAATAAAGAAGTCCCTGGATTAGTTCACCAACCCAGAGCAAAGTAAGTTCTACTTTCTTTTACTTGTATTGTTTGTAAAACTAAAAATGCTTTCTGAGTGAATTCCATTTTGCCCACTAGGTAGTCAAGATTGCCTCTAAAGCTTTAGTAATTGAGACATTGTGCCCTCCCCCAAACAAAATAGATGCATAACATCCCCAGTACATATCAAAACTGACAGTTTTAGTCCAGTTACAAAAAAAAAATAAAAGATAGATTGCTTTATGACTCTCAGATAGTTTTGATTAAGACACAAATACATTCAAAACATAAGGAAAATTCCTAATTAATGGCAGCATTTATGAACATCTGCCAGGCATGAATGGTGGTACAGCTCTTTAAATCCCAGTACTTGGGAGGCAGAGGCAGGCAGGTCTTCGTGAAATCAAGGTCAGCCTGGTCTACATAGCAAGTTTCAGGTGAGCTATGGTAATACGGAGTCCCTGTCTCAATAAATAAATAAATAAATAAATAAATAATAATTTCTGAACATATGTTTATCAGAATATACTGTAAAATGGTAAAGGTCCCAGAACACATACAAATGAAAGTGATTAGACTTGCAGAATAGAAATAATAATAGAAAATAATTCTACAAATAAATATATAAAACCCAGAGGACCAGAGAACAGGCAAAACACATAAACAACCATCTGACTGAAGAGGAAACTTGAATGACCAATAAATTTGATAAACATGTCATTTCATATCATCAGATGTACAAATATCTAGAAGCCTGACAATACAAAATTGACCAGGATGTAGAACCCAAATGCTCTTATGCCCTTCCAGTGGGAATATACACTGATGCCACTCTCAGAAAACAAGTTTTATTATCTAGTAACTAGGCACTTTTACTCTCCAGCAACTCTAGGTCCAGATACAGACACTTGAGAAACTCTTAGAACATTTTCAACAGGGACGTATTTGAAGTCTCCATAATAGTGTTGTTTAGATGAAATCTTGAAAGCAAAGCCAAATGTCCATCAAATATATAATGGGTACAAAACTGTGGAATGTTCTGATGTTGGGTATATCAGTGGAAAATGAATGATGTAAGTACACATTGTACTTACTGAGGTGGAGCAATCTCAGAACAGTAAGGAGCAAGATGTTCTAGTAAGTTCAAAGACAAAACTAAGTAATGTTTTCTGTATAAGTGTATGGCAAAATAATAAGAAAAACAAGGAAATGAAAAGGCATTAAGTTGAAAATAGTGGTTCCTTCTGACAGGTTGAGACACAGTGGGACTAGAGGTTCTGTTTGGTTTTTTTTAATTATTTATTTAATAAACACATGATTAGAAGAAGCATTTCATTACAACATTAACATACTCAATAACAATTTCCAGAGCAAAGATGCTGGCATCTCTTTCAAAATTGGCTGTAAATTTTAGGTTCACAGTTGAATTAATATACTTATACGATATTGAAATCACTGTAAACCCTAAAAGACATAAAATTGAATGAAGTTTTAACCTTTGAAAAAGGTCTCCATTTCATTTTAGAATATACTGTTTCATACAGAGAAACTTATTTTGTAATACAAATAACAGATGTTTGCATATGCATCTCTAATCTC